GCTTTGCTTTCACCGGATCTACCTTCTCCTCCAGAGGTGGATGTCTCTTTGCTTTCACCCCTTCAAAGAACTCCTTCACGTGGGTCCGCACAATCGTATCGTTTTCCTCCTCGGACCTCTCGTACGGTAACCTCTCTAGAGGCTTGAGAGATGATGGACCGTATTTGTATTGCCTCCCGCCTCTGGTTGTGCTGCTAGACGCCGGAGCAGACGGAGCGGCTGCGGCGTCTGTCTTCTTTCGTGCTTGCTTACGAGGCGGAGGAGAAGGAGTATGACGCGCCGGAGCAGCCGGGGCGGCGGCGGGTCTCTTCCGCCCTTGCTGGCGAGGCGGAGAAGGAGGATGCTGCTGGCTGCTCGGGAGCGCCGTCACAGGCGGAGTGCCGCCATGCGCCGGAGAAGGAGGCGGAGTGCCGCCATGCGTGCCCTGATCGTCACTCATCTGAGGAGGAGGCGGTGGAGGAGGCGGAGTGCCCTGACTCGCCGGAGCAGGAGGAGGTGGCGGAGGCGTCCAGTTCAGAAGGTTGATGAGCTCCTTCTTCCATAGGCATGGAGTCTTCAGAGCAGAACCCAGCCTAGTCTCCCCTTCACTGGTAGGGTGGTCAAGCACGAGGTCCTCAAATCCCTCCGTTATTTCATCCACCATCACCTTAACATATCCTTTTGGAATCGGCTGGCAGTGATAAGTTGTGCCGGGTCCACTAGGATAAACTCTCGTAGTCATCTTATACATACCATTGTAACCCCTCACATGAGGTATCCCCCCATCATGAATAACAAACACGAGCAGGATGTAGGCTATTACTCTCCAAGTGCACGGACTTGGGTAAAATCCCAGTGTGACATCCACTGTGAGACTTCCAGCTACGCCAAGAACCCTACTAAGGGATCTGGCGGTTTTTTGTACTGCCAATTGGCGCGGGTTGTGCCGGCCGGAGACCAATCTCAGATCAGATCTTCCCTAGCCTTCATCGATCTCCCATCTAGGGAGATCCTAGCTTTGCCTCACTCACTTTGTCTACACGATCTGCATCAACATTCTGTCCTTTACCACCAATGACCATGGAGACCTCCGCATGTACTTGCCACCGCCAGCAGATCATGCGGACACATCTGTCATCAACAACGACATTTTCTCTGCCAGCCTCTAACTCCAAGGATGGCGGCACACCAATAACCTAGGCACTCCCAACCGTGGCGTCGAGGGATAGGTGTTGCGGTGACTCCACGTGTTTCCACCAGCCCACACCGACCTCACACTTCGTCGCCATGGTCTGTGGCAACTTCTTCATCATGCACACACTAAAGAACCACATCATCGACAGCCCTGACTCCGAGGAGGGAACCAACCTAGCCGACACTTCAAC